ATATATATATATATATCATATATATCAAGGATATCCCTAATGTCCCTGTGACCTCTTTGAATTCTAAGTTCATTGCATTATATTTTTCACCCACCAGCAGAATGATTTCAGTTTCATCGGGAGTTTGTTGTCCTTCATGTAAAGGCTGATATCTTCCTACTGGCTTCAACCATCAACACCTGGTCGGTGCTTGAGGTCATCAGCAAAAGCTATTGTTCTCAGTGCCGTCTAATGAAGAAAGCTTAAGACACCTGGTACAAACAGTTGACTGTCGCGTGAAATGAAAAACAGAATTCTGGATAGTTCCTTTATACTTCGAATAGGCATTCGAGTTTTTGTATTTCCTTTGCATGGCTATTAAAAAAAAATGATATCACTGCGACCAGCAAGATCTCTAGTGCCCCACTTTTATAGTCAATTTTTTACTTTTAGTCGATTGATGACCTGTTTAATCTGTAGAAACTCATATTGAATATAGTATAGAAAAGTTAATAAATAGCTGTTTTCAGATGATATTGTAATGAGGAACATAATTGTGTGGTAATCGTTTGTCTTTTATATTCAGTTGTGCAATGCACTCTAAGAAACACATACATCTTAGAATTATAATTGAGTCCAACCCAGGAATTCTAAATCAGTTGGATAAGTCTTCTTTCTGCTCACCACATATCATGAACTCAATGTGAAAATTGTTCAATAAGATATGATTACACAAGTAGTAGAGTTCATGAAATTATCTGACAGTTTGGGTTCAGTTTGATTGGGCTATTATATAGCTGCAAAAAGTTTTTCGATTCGAATAAATGTGGAATAAGATCAGAGCCATAGTAAAAAGCTGATTCTTTCATAGTGAGAAAATATTTTCAAATGCTGCAATCTTATTCTCCACACGATTAAAGGTCCCCTTATGACCAAAAAACAAGAACAACAAGAACAACAGATATTCACTCTTCATTCTATTAGCTGTATGAACTTCACGTTCCCCGAAAAAAAAATAGGTTCGTGTACGAAAAAGAAGGAAAAGTCAAGGTTCTACAATGAAATTGAAAAGTGTGAAGGTGATGAGGCCCATGTAGAAGTTCATAATGATTGCTATATTCCAGTTTGAAAAAAAATCTAATTTGAATTAGAGCATACCTGTATAATAAGGATCACTCGGATATCTCATTAATATAATTTCTTTTCAGGTTCAACATATGCAGGAATTCTGTGGAGGAAACAAAAAAAATATGTACTCTACTAGTTCAGAGAGACTTAATTCCAAAATTTAGAGCAGGGCGTACTGAAATTGATTTTGAAATTCTATCAAGAGCTTTCGTAGAAGGAGCCAGATGTATTTTGCCAGTGAAATTATCCTGTAGTCATATCATTGACTATCTGAACATGTTGGTATATAGCATTGAGGATGGCGAGACTTTCGAAAAACAAACTTCTACAGAGAAAAGTATTCATGAGTTCAATATTTTGAGTTACTTAGTGTGGGCTTTGAAGTACAGTTTCGGAAGATTCGTATTGAACCAGATATTGAGAATAGCGATATGGTCTTTGAGAATATTTCCCGTTCTTGGATATTTGAAATTCAAAATATAATTCAGGCCACTGACACAATAATAATACTAATCAACCTCTTTAGGATTGTTTAAGTGAAATAATAGAGAGTATTTCAGTATTCTTATACTCAATGTTTGAATTCAGGCCACTGACACAATAATAATACTAATCTACCTCTTTAGGATTGTTTAAGTGAAATAATAGAGAGTATTTCAGTATTCTTATACTCAAT